TGTGATTGCTCGGCCATGTTTTGTAGAGGCAACACACAAAGGGCAACTCAAAGGGGACGCCAAGGCAATCAGAGTGCCGCGTGGTAGGAATGATAAACTCCCACCGCAAGCCTTCTCCTTTCACACGGAAGTCCGTCATGTCCTAGTTGAACCCGGTATGCGGATCGTAGGAGAAGCGGCGTGGAGAAGTTGTCGACAGCTGCAAGTGGTCCACCTGCCAGACACGGTTGTCAGTCTGCTGCAAGGTGCCTTTAGCCGCTGCCGAGCCTTGCGAGTAGTGATTGCCCCTGGCTGCCAACATTTTGGTGCTAAGGTCTTCGAAGAGTGTTGCTCCCTAACACAAATAGGAGTGACGCAGTGCCCTAACAATATTCTCGCCCCCCAAGCACAACTGCGGCCCCGTGTGTTTCAAGGATGCACGGCCCTACAGCGCCTCGATTTGGGTAAGGAAGGGCGAGGCCCGACATATCCGAACCGAAGTCTGCCTGACTGCTGCTTCCTGGAAGCGGGCATCGTCGCACTCTATCTATCGTCAGATTTTCACAGGATAGGAGTGGCCGCCTGTACGAGCTGCCAGCAACTGCAAACTGTTGATTTGCCCCAAACGGACGTCATTGAAATTTTGGGCTCAACCTTTGCGCACTGCTCGCAGCTGCAGCAACTCAGCCTCTCCCGAAACCTACGAATCATTGAGCAAGAAGCCTTTCTTAAGTGTACCTCGCTACAAGAAGTCTGCATCCCACCATCTCTGCTTTACATTGTGCGGCGTGCTTTTGCAGGTTGCGCGCAACTTCGAGCAGTTCGTAAAAAAGGGCAAAGCATAACATGGCGAGGTACATATGCCTGGCCCAATGCCTTTGACAAATGCGAGCAATTGGACAAGCCCCAGTGGCTCCGATTCCTGCCGCCACATGCAAATGACCAATGGAGAGACGACTTCCATGATGCCACGTGTTAAGCTGGCAACGCGCGAATGACAGTGGAGAAGGACTGCTACTCTGCTTCGATGTGGTGAGCCAGGCTCAAGAACTTTCAGGCGAAGCCACCATTTCGGTCTCAGTAACAACATTGCAGTGAGCCTGTAGGAATGAGAGCCTTAGCTTTCGCTCCTAAGAGGCGGGTGGTAGAGAATGGTAATGGAAGGTAGCCAGGGGGAACCTTAAGTTCTCCTTGCAGCGGCCAAACCATGACCTTTGCTGTACAAAGGGGCACAAGTACCATGCTAGGATAGGTCCACGTTTCACTGGTTTCACCCGGGCCTTGCACGCAACAGGAGACTTTCGCATCTTAGTATCGCTCCCTCTTTTTGGAACAGAGAGTACTGCATTGGCACTCCTTGACTGCTAAGGGGTGCAATGGTGACCTCCCTTCGGGGGGGATGGCATCACTTTCGTCAGCGAACCCCTTTCGTTGTCTCTGCCTCCACTGTCTGACAATCGACATGCCTCTCGTCTCTGTCGTGCAATCAATTGAAAGGGTTGTGCCACGAGATGGGCCTTTCCACGGCTTGTTAAGCAGAGCAACAACTGATTCTCCTGGGCAAGGATCAGACTGGCTGGCAACAAACAATGCAGCTCTTGCAAAGCACCCGATCATCACTTTCGCCGCTCGAAGCAGTGGCCCTCTTGGTCACTGTTTTGTGGGAGGGGCGTGGCCCCTTTGATAGGCCCCGCTGCACTCCCTTTTGTGCTGACCATGCCAATCGACTTTCGTAGTGAATTCAGGCCCATAGTTAGTTAGCAGCCAGCTTTTGCCATTTAGCCTCTGAACAGCCGATATTCCGGCAAGTGAATGAAAGCGAACTGCACGAGAGCCATATGCATGCATGAACTAAATGACCCAGATGTAGAGAACAGAATTTGACTAAAATTTAAGGACTTGAATTTGACTTGAGAAAGATTTCCGATATTCCGGAACTTTCGATGCAACAAAATGCCTTTCGTAGATTTGTACAGAGTATCTGACGCGACCTAGATGGGCCAGAAGGCATCTATGGTCTAGTTCTGCGATGCCAGAACTTTTGTAATTCATTTGCATTCTTTTGAGCAAGCTTTTGTACTTTAGCGATCGTAAGCTTCGACGCGTGTCTGTTTTGTGTTTGTAGTGCCCTAGGTCCCCTAGGCGTGTCTACGCTTTGCTTGTGTAGCACCTGTTCTTTGTATATCGACTTGTATGTAGTTCTTCAGTCCGCTATCGACCTATTTGGCTCAAGACTATCGTAGCCCAATACCTGCGTCCGCAGCCATAGAAAAGGTGTGCATCGCTGCCGCTCGCACACCACCGTCGACCGCTGTGGCCTCACTTGGTGTGTTCGATCAGGTCCAGTAAAGCTACTGCCACTTCTGGGGGAACTTATCCCTCACCCCCCGCCCCCCGGGGAATTGATTTTTCAACACCGCCCCCCCCCCCTAAATTCAATTCTCTCCTGGAGAACGTCTTCGTGAGCCTCTCATGATTTCAGGATAGTTGAAACCCTCTTGAACATTCAGAGTGCATATGAAATTCTAATGACGAAAGGTGCTCCCCGAGGGGATACATACCTAGAGTTTGTTTTGTGAAGCACGTCAATTCTCTCCTGGGGAACGTCTTCGTGAGCCTCTTATGGTTTCAGGATAGTTCAATTTTTTTTGCACGAGTCGAGCCGCCATTCATGCAGGAAGTGCAAAGGTCAAGGTCAGCTTGTGCAGTATTTGGAAGAGTCTCCTTATGAAAAGGGGCCAAAACAAAGCAAAAGGACACCCAACAACCGAACAACAAACACAAGAAGAACACGGGGCAGGAGACTATTGAAAATGCACTTGAATGTACATGCATGGGTGAGACAGAGAGTGAAACAGATGTTGGGCAATGAATTAGAGCAAAAAGGCCACGAGATTGGCTATTGAGATGCGGTACGAAATGCTTGCTGGCACATCATGACCCTTAGTCAAAAAGGCCTGGATAAGCAGGCAATGTCATCAAGCACTAATGAGCTACTGTACATTCTCCGCACTCGTTCGTGGAATGGCAAACGAAGAAGGCACTTGAAGAGGCACGGGCCAACTGGTCGGGCTAAATGTGCTAGCGCTGCTGCATATATCCTCATCTGCTCAAAATTTCTGGCCCTGGAAAACCACTATTGATAAGACAGCTCTAACGCACCAAGCGAGAGCGCGCATCATTGACAACAGTGCGGCCTTTTGTTGTTGTTCGATGTGTTCAATGTGTTCAACCGTCAATAAGATTGATGGAAGGAACCTTCTTTGGTACTCAACACGGTAGTAGGGAGTTTGACAATCTGGAGTTGGTGACAGTTTTGCCATGCAGATGCACCAATAGTGTGTAGACCAGATTCTACTAAGACATGCCTCAAACATGGGATGGAAGAAAATGCTTTGTCTGGGATGACGCTTGAGGCGATTGCAGGGATGCGGATAGCTTTCGGGTACCGCAGGCAACCATCTTTCTGGAGCTGCCGTTTGTGCTCTAGGAACTCTATGCATTTTCGAACTACTAGATTGAAACATGAATTGTCTCGAAGAGCGTCCCATATGGGGTCCTTTAGAGGTTTCTGGGTGCCCGGATATAATAGGTACACCTCACAACCGAACGTGTCAAGGTTGCACACTGTGGGTAGAAAGAGTACCACGGCGTCCTCCAGTTCGTCAAGGCGATCGGGAGAGGAGGTGCCATCCTGTTCTGTAGATTGCCTTTTCCAGGTCAGTGGCAAGCCAGTTGGAGTTTGGATCCCCAAAGCCAAGCAGGGGCCCACAGCGGACTTCTTCAGGCCACTAGGCATGCCTGATACCCTAGACCGGTTGCAGGATGGCACAGTTGCTGCCATCCTCTTTAGAACTACACGACACAGTTTCCATCCTGCGCAAACCCTATTGAATGCATTTCGAGAGCCACAGCGGGCTGTCCTTGAAGTCCAGCGTTCGTTAGAAGGAGAGGCACCTGCCCCTGCCCTCTTTGCAGACGTCAGGGTGAAACCTTACTTTAAACGGAAGAAAATCTTCCAATGGATCTATCGGCATAATTCCAGAGCATGAAGCCGCTTGAAACACTTGAAGGAAAAAATGAGCGTTTGACAACTTTTCGTCGTTTTTCGCAATTTGTGCTTTTCAACAAGTGCCCAAAACGCAGGGGCCGTGTCACCTTGTTTTTGTGAGTGACATATTTGTCCAAAAACCCAAGCAGCAACGCGAATAACTTCACGTTTAACGACCGTGCACTTGAGTCAGAGACGGTCGGACGTGGTTGGCAACGATCTTGTTTCGTCTTGACCTCTAAGACTGCGTTGACAATTTTGACCTTTGGCCGGTGGCGTTTTTAGCAAGTTCCTTGTTTGCAAAGTGCGGGCCTTGTGTGTAAGAAATCAGTCTTAGACAGGTGAATTCCAGAACAAATTTTGATGTACACTGGTTTCCCATCTGTGTATCATATTGAACCTAGACGCGGCTGTGTTTTAACAGTTCGAGTGACGAAAATGTACGCAACATGTTTTGCTGGTTCGAAAGAATGTGTCTCAAAATGGATCTACACCTTCAATTCGAAAGCCAGATCATGAGGATGCCAGAAGTGGTGTAAAATCATGAATTAACGAGTTAAGGATGCCAAAGGGCCGTCAAAAAATAGAAAGAACCATTGAGGCTCCAAACACCTCCTGGTCCAAACGGGGTGTTGAACATTACATCCATCGCAGTTCATGTTTTTTTCGTGGAGACCTCTGGAAATTTCATGATAAAAAACTGTTTCAATTGCCACCCTGGGAAAAATCATATGTTAGTGGATCCGGGTGGACCGCGAAAGTCATGCAGCACAGTTGTTCAGTTGTGCTCAACAAGGTGTCTGAGATTGAAACCAGGTATTTCCATTGCTAAGTTCTTTGTGAATTGATGGCTCGAAGAGTTCGAGTAGCCGTAGAAGGGAACCTATTGTGGAATGCATTCACGAAATGGTGCATTCACGAAATGACATCCTACAAGAGCAAATCAACGAACAGATCTGCTTTTCACACACACGCACACACGCACAGCCACTTTGGTGCAGCTGCTGCCCGAATCAGCCAACATGGAGGCCAAAGAGGAATAGGGCGCAACAAATTGTTGCACAAATTGCGGTGCAAGTTTTGCTGCAGTGTGGGTTCGCGTGCCAACAAATTTGATACCACGTTTTTTCTTTTCATGTTTTCCAATGCTTTGGTTGTTGCAAGACTTCTATGTCCAGGCAGCAGACTTTGCCGGTCGATTGCAGCTGTTGGAGGTGCTGTTGGCGTTTCATGTTCGTTTAACCATTGCGTTCTCAATCCGAAGGCACCCATGAGTCTTACCTTGGTCAAATGGAACAAACCACCACGTGCAAGTTTTTGTGTCATGGAACCACCTTGAACCGATACTTGCCAACCCGATTTTCCAATTGTTGTGTCAAAACTTGTAGATCGAAAAATCAACCACCTGTTGACATCAAAAGCAGAGACATTGAGAAAAGATAAAAGTGCACGAAGCATTCAATTGCTGGGGTACAAATTGTTTTGAGAGACTTCCTTTCTCAGGCGCAAGTTGGGGATCTGCAACGTCGATTGGAGTCTGTGTGCCGCCCAAGCCTGATGCGGCAGTTTCTGTGCAATCTCCGTGGTACAATCTCGGTGGGGCGAGAACGGACTCCGGCTGGCAGGTGTCAAGGGAAAAAGTTCCTGAGGTGGGGACAAGATATAGGGAAACTGTGACTGGACAGTTTTGATATGTATTGAGTAAGCAGTATAGCATAGAAACGAGTTGACTCTGCAAGTCTTTGCATAGGTCTTTGGTTCATGTGCTCGTGTGGTTTTGAAACAGCATGAGTGGAAATACATAGAACTTTGCACAGGTGACATTCATGGTGTGTGTAGCACAGGAGTCAGTGTATCAGGGCTGCAGACATGCATGCTTTCACGACTCTGCAGTGCAACTGCTTAAGCCGTGGGCACGTGCTCGCAAAGCTTGTGTCTGTTTTATAATTTTGCAGACCTTCATTTTTGCCAAGAAGTGGGTTTAATGAGAGCAACTCGTTCAGCAACGGCAGGCAGCGCCCGATGTGCAGAAACGCCGCTCGGACGAGAGGGGTGAGGAGTGTTTTGGATGGGCACCGGGAGTGCGATTGAAATTCAAGACAAGTGGAAAGCGAGGACAAATATACAGTATTTGTATTTTTTTGTATTCAGCAAGTTTTGCTTGGATTTGCCTGCGACCTCTTGAGACTTGCAAAAAGAGCAAGGGCAGGCCTGCAGCCTTTGCTGCGCCTAGGCAACGTCCTTGAAGGAGGATTCCACGTTGACGCGCGAGCTTGCCACGCTGCTTTTTCCTTTGAACTCCGGTAGCCTTGAACCCCGGGCGTTGAACGAGGCTTGCAAAGCTTGGAGGAATCCATGAACCTGCAGCGCAGCTCCAACGACGAGCGCCTGAAGGCTCCGGAGTCGGATGGCTTCGGACGCTTGGGCGAGCTCGGGTCCGGCCGGCCAGGTCTTATCCTCCGAGCCGGGTGGCCGAGGGGGGACAGGTCTTATCCTTTCATGTAGTCCCCCAAGAACTTCGTAGAGGTCTGGTCACTGAAATGTCTGGAGGTGGATAGCTTTTTGGTTCATCGTAAGCCTTTTTTCCCATTGTTCGACACGTGTGCATAAAGACCAGTACATTTCTACATTCTTCTTCATTATAGTGGACGAATAAAACATATTAAACACATACAGAGTTTTCTGAGTCTCCAAGGCTTCAACAGAACACAAAGACAGTGATGCATCAGCTGGAGCAGCACTTGTCACTTGGCTTGCTATGCATCACTGCGAGCTACATGCAGATTTGTCTGCTTGGGCAGTGGAGACCACACAGGCTTTGCTGGGCTTGACACACAAGAAAGACAGCTTGATTTTTTGCCCTCAAATACATTTTAAACCCTTACAGGCCAGTACCTCTATTGGCTCTGAGGTCCACCATAGAAGAGGCCACAAAGCAGCAGTCGCTGCATACCGAGAGCACCTTAAAGAACTTGGCCAAGAAGGTGGAGGAGCAAATTGAACATTATCATGCGAGCATTGAATCGGATTGAATGCAATCAGGCGGTTCAGAAGATGAATTTGCGAAGTCGTTTCCTTTTTGAGTAAGCCACTACCAATTTGTCGCGAAGAGTTGCTTTCTATTTTTCTTGTCTTGCCTCAGCTGGTTTAGTGTGAGCCTTTTGGAAGATGTTTGGGCCGTGGGCCACGTTGTGTCAAAGAGAATGCTGGCCGCTGCACGCCCCAGTGCGTAGAATTAGACTCTTCTTGTCCAAACTAAACGAGGGTAGTGGTGTCCAAAACCTCTAATCTTACAGGTTTGTATTCAGGAATATCTTCCTAATTCCCGACCATTACCATCTCCGTGTGCTGTGCTGCCGCCCTGAATGAATTTGTTTCACCAAACGCAGTCCACAGATGTCCACAGTGTTTTTGTTTTTCAAACAGTCTTTTCCAGTTTGTTTGTGAATTCATGACAAGTTGTAACAGGAAGAGTTTCAAAGGCTACTATTTTTTGTGGTTGTACTTCAATGCATATTACAGCATCCTATAGCTCCGGACTGAAAGATAGAACCACCTTGGCTCGTACACAATGCTCCACCTCACACTTAGAACCACGTTCTCCACATTGAAAATCACCTTTGTAGGCATATATCTTTGTAGGCATATATTAGCAAACTGGAACGTATTCCACCTACACTTAGAATGGGTGGTCGCCACGAGAGACTTTTGGCCTGGCTTGGCGTGATCCGGGTAAGTTGTCCCTCGTGGGCCATGAATGGTGAAGTTCTAAGTGGTCAATGATTGCGCGTTTTAAAGTGAACGTTTGGGAAAACACCGGACTGAAAAATGGAATTTGACGTGGTTCTAACTTGTGTGACCTTGGTTCTAACTTGTTTGACCTAGACATGGTTCTATGTATAGACCGTTTTTGGGTTTTTGGACGCTCCACACGTCGGGGTTCTATCTTTCAGTCCGGGATTACAATTCGTCAGGACAGCTTGCAAAATGCAGCCTTGGAGATTAGCGATGCAGCGTTGCAGAATCTCTTGAACCAGGCATGGCATGGGCTCGGACTCCCCAAAGGACAAACAGTGTGTCAGGGCCAGAGTTGCTAGCTGCTACACTGACACACACACACACACACAAGTCTTTGGAGTCTTGCAGGGGTTTCCCGAGTTCTGGCAGAGCCTGGTTCCCAATCAGGCAGAAAAGATGAAACGACCTCGACCAATGCAGGGAGACTCAGCTGTCGGCGTGTCGTGAACTCAGCTGGCGCGTCCGATCGCTCCGTTCGTAGCGATGCCAGAAGCCCCTAGTAGCGTCCTTGCTCCTATTAGTAAGGCCAGGTGCCCCTAGTAGTAAGAGCCCCT